CAAGTGGTCTGGTGGCATTGGCTGGCTGGGACAAGAAGGTCATTGCAAGGAAGGTATTGAGAACAATAAAATGGCTCAATGTAAGAAGCATACATGGTTCAACCATCCACAGGAATGACATGAAACAGTCATAAATAGAATAACCCCAGGAAGGACCTGCACAGTAGGAAAAAAAAATGGAGAGACTGAGGAGTTTGATGTTGCTGAAGGAGAAAAGGCTATGGAAGAACAGATGTTAGAGAACCTGGTGGAGATCGAGCCCAAGGCAGTAAATGTGAAGCAGACTACAACCATTACAGACACTACCCTGGTGATCCTCAGCGCAATTACCAGCAGAGTTGCCAGAATAGCGAGAGTAGGAAAGAAGGAGAGATGGCCAGTCCAACAACACCAGCACTACCAGAGGCACGGGTTCCCACCTTACTCTTTCCAAAGACCCCATGGGCGCCGACCACAGTATTATACCCCTCCTATGCAGGGAAAAGTGATGGAGAATGTCAGCAACCAGAATGCAGGACCACCACATAGGCCAGGGAGACAGAATGTTTTCAGGAGGGCCACCCTCACTACCAACAGCCCAGAGAGGACAGCAATGAGGAAAATCCATACTGCTCAACTCTGATTATGCTACAGATGCCAGAGAAGGGAAAGAGGAGAAGCAACCGGTCCACCATCTGAGATCTCCTTCACTCTGAGGATGAGCAGGATGGAGCCGAGTAAACATCAGCTCATCATCTCCACCATCATCTGGTCATGCAACAAGAGGAAATGAATATGAAATTCCTGCAACACTTTGGAGCAGACTTTAAAATGGTTTTTCTGCCCATTGATCAGATTCCTAGAATCCTGTGCATTGTCCATGCACCATGGGCTTTTTATTATTGTTATCTAAAGACATTCCTTTCTGGTAATAAAAAATGTGAGATTTTTCCTTAAGCTTAGTTTTTTCTCAATATGCCTTTAATTTTTTAATTGTTTCATATCTGCTCAAGTTGAGATTTTTAAGAACTTCATTTTTAATTTTTAATAAAATTTAGAACTTGGCTTTTTCAAAGAACAGTCAACAAACCATAAGCACCTGTTAATAAAGGTCTTAAATAACTTTTTTTTAGAAGGTCAGACCTGAATTTTCTATTGTGGGCCAGGGAGCGGGGTCAGAGTCCCTAACCCTCAAGTTGCTCAATGATTATGAGTATTTCCTCTTAAAAACAAATCGCCTATAGGGAGTTTCAATTAAAAACTCATCTTCAACTCACAGGCTTGTCTTTTCATCTTTACAGCAGTTATGTTTACTGCCAATAGTCTCGGTCACTTCACTGGCCAGAGAGAAGGCTGCGATGGCAGTTCCAGGTCTCATGTGTCTGATGTCCATTTCCCTAGTTCTCCACCTTGCCTCTCACAACCACTTACCAGCCTTCCTTCCTATTTGCAGTTCTTCTCTGAATGCTTCCTGTTTTCCTTCCCCCAGGGAGTTCAAAACTGCCTGCAATATTCTCAGCAAATGGCACAAGACTCAGGACTTTCATGGTGTTTCAAGTTGGAGGATATTGGGAGTTAGCAATTATGAAATGGATTTGCAAATTTGAATCAAGAAACTTAAATTTAGAAGAACATTTGCCCCAAGGACATGTGAAAAATTGGTTTTTAAGTGCTATCTTGAGTACTTCTTAATCTACAGCAATTATTGTTCATGAAATCAATATGACAGGATGCTGAGAGAAGTCATGGTAAATACCATTACACTAATGCTCCGCTTAATGAGCTGCTTGAGCCAGAGTCAAGTGGGATCAAGGTTTCCCTGAAACCAGAAAAACTGCAAATTCCAACCCACCTTCCAGGGAAAAAAGTAACCTTTGGAAATCCAGTTGAAAAATTTAGCCTTTGGAAATACTTAGCAGGGAATATAGAAGTTGGGCAAGCATATTAAGTCTTAGCTATGGGGAAAGGGGTTATTGGAGGTGAAGTCAACTTTGCCAAAAATTGGTTTGGGTCCACTGAAGTCATTTTCCCCAAAGTGAAGCAAAAAAGATGAGATAAATTTCCAACAACTAAGGAATATTCATGCTTTTCTCATCTAGAATAAACCAGTCTCTACAAAGGCAGGCCAATGCTGGTCAGTCACTTAAATACATCTTTTCTATTTAAAGAATTTTCTTAAAAGAGGCAGTAAACTCATTTTATGAGCTTAGAAGACAGATTAACAAGTAACAAGGAGGCAAATGTTCCTGATGCTAGGAAGAATTCTTTTTTATTATGGTAGTATATGCATAATATAAATTTGTCATTTGAGTCATTTTTAAGTGTACAGTTTATTGGTGTTAAGGATATTCATTCACGTTGTTGTATAGCCCTTACCTCCATCGCCCTAAAGAATATTTTCATTGTCCCAAACTGAAACTCTTAAACACATTAAGCATTAAGTCCCCATTCTCCAAGCCCCTGGTAATCACTACCTACCTTTTGTCTTTTTGAATTTGACAACCTAGCGTAATCATAGTATTAAATAAAAATTACAGAAGGCTATTGTTTTGAATTAAATTCCTGAACAGACCAGGCCAAAAGCAAAATGGAGTCACTGTGCTAAAATTTCAGGTCACCAAGCCAAAACTTAACTGCTTATAGAAAAATGTCACTGTCATGATAATGAAGTCCTCTCTGCTTTAACTCTCTCACACACACCAAAATAGATAACATGAAATAACTTGACTTGATCAGTTATTTTCACGTTGTTTTGTCTCCTGTCTTTAACTTATAAGGAAAATAACTTTGAAATGGCCAACCCACTTTTTGTTCTTTCATTTCAGCTTTCTTCAACCTTTCTCTGTCTACACAACCAAGCTCTTCTGCTCAGCCCATGAGAAGACATATTCTATATTGTGGAATGAAATGTTGCCTGATTCTAGAATCAAAAATAAAGCCAATTAAATAAATTGTTGTGTTTTTATCCTTTGGCAATATAATATATGTCCTTGAGTCTGGCTCATTTCACTTAGCATATGTCTTTGAAGCTCCTGTTGTAACATCTATTGGAGTATTATTCTTTTTTAAGGCTGTATAATCTTTCACTGGCTGTGTGTACCACATTTTGTTTACCCATTTATTCTTCAATAGACATTTGAGGTGTTTCCACCTTTTGGTTACGGAGAATAATGCCATCATGAACATGAGTGTACAAATATCGGTTCATATCCCTGCTTTCAATTATTCTTTTAATTATTATATAGCCAGAGTGATTTTATGTTTAATTTTTTGAGGACTGCCATACTCTCTTCCCCGGCTGCTGCATCATCTACATTCCTGCCAGCCATAGACAAGAGTCCCAGTTTCTCAGCATCCTTGCTAATACAAGTTATTTTCTGGTTTTGTTTTGCTCAGACAATAACACTCCCCATGGATGTGAAGGAAGAATAACTTTTAATAACTCATCTTTTACCACCCTGGGGAGCAAAGAGATAGAGGCTAGGGGATGTACTCTGACAAAGACTAGCTAGACCAACAAGTTCACTTACAGAGGTGTACACTGTCCAAGTGTGTCTGGTCACAGAGCAAGGCAAGGCTGAAATCCAGCATATGTCACATCCCAAGCTGGGCACGGCCTCTTCTGGGAGAAGGCAGCCACTTTTTCTTCCTGGAAAAGATTGTCAGCTTGCCAAGCCATGTGCCCAAAAAGTCAACCTTTTTTTTTAATATAAACTAAGGCATTTTTAAAAACTATTTGTTATTCTGGCTGGTTAACCCACCCTCACGCAGAAGCTATAGATACTCTAGATTAGTGCACAGGGTGATATGTAATCCAACAGAACTAGATGACTAGAACAACCCCTTTCAATGGTGGCTTTCTGTGGGTCTCTTTGATGGTTTTACAAAAATGATCCCTAAATTTTTCAACATTCCTTGAATTGGCAGGCGGGTTCTTTAAGACCTCACTTTGAGTCTGGGATCAATGACTGCTTGACTCATAAAATTGATCAAAAGTGCCATTCTACCAGTTTCTGGGCCCAGATCTCAAGAGATGGTCAGTTTCCACTTCTTCCTGTCTCTCTGGACACTTATTCTTGGAAACTCGTCACCACACATGGAGAAAAACTAACCCTCAACACAGAGCAAGTGAAGTGCATCCCCCAGTCCTAGTGACACGGAGCAAAACTGATGAGTTCCAGACCAGCCCTGGCGAGAGCAGATGAGAGCAAAGTAAGTGACTGACTTTGTTTTAAGCCACTGTGTGTTTAACGGTGGGTGACTGGTGACTTGTTCATCTGCAATAACCAGAGCAGTCTGTGAGGTGCGTCCAGAGTGCCCCAGCCTCATAGTTCCACACTCGCCGGAAACCAGCTGTCCACCGAGGGACCCCAAGTCAGGCTTCCCTGAAGAGCCCACAATGGCCTTTGCCCCTCGTCTTCTCTTCCACCCCCTTCCACCCCCAATCTGGGGTAAAGACACTGAGCCCCACCCTCTATAGGATCTGCATCCTCGTCCTTTGGAGTGAGAGTTTTCACTGACTCCTGGGCTCTTCTTCGCCCTGGGCTAGAGGTTTGCAGTCTTAGGGTGCTGGCTTCAAGGGACAAAATGCAAGCAGTCTTTACTGGATCTAGTAACCTGCCTTGCAGTTGAGCTTCTTAACTTCCTCTGCACTAAAGAAGGAGCCCACAAGCAAAGTGGAGTTGCTGCATCCCAGATCAAAGCGCCTGCACTCACTGACCAAGGGGCTGGCCGAGTTTCTGGCCAGGCCTTTCATTATCCCGGGCTTGTCTGTTAAGCCCTCCCCGGGCTCCTCCACCCACCCCCAGCTTCACTTCAGGAAGGAAATAGTTAAAAGTCTCCTGCCCTTCGGGGCCTGGAAGGGGGCGGCAGCTCAGTGCAGTTTGGTGAGGGCTGGAGGACGCTCTTGCGGTCCCGCAGTGGAGAAGGGCTGGGAGCTTTGGGAGAAGGGGAGGACAGGCTGGAGGCGTGTTCCTTCCTTCGGAGTTTTCTTTTTCCTGCGAGTCCTTGCGCGCGCGTACAGTCATCCCTCTGGTCTGGTCTGGCGATCGTGGAGAGGAGGCAGGGAGGCTTCATCCTTCCCACCGGCTCATCGCCAGAGGCTGGAGGCTCGGCGAGACCTCCCCCAGAGAAGCCCTGCCCCACCGGATAAGTTTTCCGCCGCCAAGACAGCCCTGCAGCTGGGGCCGCCGGCGCCCCGCAGCCCGGGACACCGGCCACCCACCCTCCGCGCCATCCACCCTCGCGGGCTCCGGCTTCCTCTGGCCCAGGCGCTGCGCGAACCCTGCAGGGGCGCCCGCCGAGCTCCACGGTCGGTGCTAGGCTTTCCTTCTGGGGATCGAGGCTGGGGCGGGGACGTGGAGACGGTTGGGTCGCTCAGTGGGGAGGAGCGGGGAGCGTACTGGCCGGTCCACCTGGCAGCTTGAGGCTGGCACCCACCTGCCTGAGACGCCCGGTGAAACGGGCGCCCTCCTGGGAGGGGTGCGCCGAGTGAACGTTTGGAGTTTGGAGAACTGATCTAAAGCACTTTGCCTCTCCAGAAGAGATTTGGATTCTTGGTAAAAAGGAAGCCAAAGGGTTCTCCCTGGGTGTCCCCCTTTCCGCCGGCGTGCCGCAACTTTGCACACATGCCCTGGTCGCTTGCTCCAAAGCATACTTGTTAGCTCACTTCTGGTTCTCCCCACACAGCCTGAGAGTAGCCAAGGGCACCCGTGCAAGACACTGTTGTGTTTTGAGAAAACCCCCAGTGCAGCTTTGCAAACCTGCCTGTCCCAGGTCTGAGAGTTTTGTTCTGTGTTGTCCTTTAAAGGCCACTTGTTGCCTTTCACATGAGGAAAACAAGGACTGTTTTTAGATAATCAGCCTCTGTTTACACCCTCCTAATGACTTTCCCCTGATAGAGCTGGGGTGGAAACATTAAAGCCAGGCAATGTGGCTAATTTCTTACCCAGAGAGCAAAGCCACAGAAAATTTCTCAAAAGTTCCCAGTTGATTTTTGTCCCTACTTGTCCTTGTTCATGATTCCTCACCACCACCTCTTCTGTTTTAAGTGTCAGCGAATTGAGAAACACCTTGGCAATCCTGTCATGTAAATTGCCTGCTCTCAACTTGTGCCATTTTGGTAAGGTTGGAATTTCCAAATTACTACTTATACAGGTGAACTTTGATCCTGAGTGTCCGATAGGTTAAATGGTTAAAGTGTAATCACGAGAATTCAGTCTTCTTCCTTAATAATATCCTGTGCACTTCAGAAAACTCTTCAACCCCAAATAGGAAGAATGCTGAATCTATTGACCATGTCCTTTAGGTTTGAAACTAAGATACTTAATAGAGCTGTGACTGATGGTTATGGCTGTTGATTCAAAGCCCAGCTTCTCTCAGATACATGAAAGTAAGCTCCAGACCCATCCTTGGAATAGCATGCATTTGAAAGGATTCTTTCATTTAGTTTGGCATTTTTTTTACTCAATGACAATATGGTATCCACATGCCTTTGACAAATGTTCCTTAACTCTGCAGCTTAATGTGTGTGGAGAGCTGACAGAAATGTCATCAGAAATTATTTCTAGGGTAGTGTCATTGTTGGAAGGAAAGAAGATGGTTTTAATGATAAGAACCCCCAGCCTTGACCTTGTTAACTCGTGCCATAATCAGCTGACCAATCAAACTGGTGCGTTGATGTTCAAAGCACTAGAGGGACTTTGATGAGTGGCAAGATGCCTGTGATAGCCAGGTCAGCTCATGAAACATCTTCCTTGCTGACTCTACTGGAGAGGAGCCATTCCATTTCTGGAAAAGGCCTTTGTCTTTCATTTCTATGAAAACTATTACTGAATATTCCATTCCAATTGGAAAACTGAGAGACTAGTCACTAGGCAGCACGAGATGTTAAAAAATTTCTTTCCACTACTCTCCATAATCCAAAGAGGAGGAGGGCTATAAGCTTTGTTCTTAGGATCCTGCTTTCTACTTCAGGATGGAAATGACTGCATTTGTAGGTTACTGATATTTGGTCAGATACTCCAAACTATAAGAAGCAGGAAAAAAACTGCAAACTAATTAAACACACTACACCCTGGTTAAAAAAAAAAAAAAACTGGCAGGTACACAGAATATCCCTAGTTTTGAAAAAAAATGGTATTTTTTATCATCTACTCAAAGTAAGTTAAGTCTATAAACAAATTGGGAGATATTATAGCCATTTGCCACTTCTTGGTTGACATAGTCACTTCACTTCTTTAAGAGTGTCTCTCAAGTAAAATGAGACATTGCTTCTACCTATCACAGTTGTAAAGCTCAAGTCAGATAATAGGTACACATATAGTTAATACATGTATTATTTTAGGTTCCTGGGGGAAAGCAAAGTATTCAATGCTTGCAATTTGGTGTTAACCCTTCTCTACAACTTGACTCTATCTTATTTTATAGCTAGGGTGACTAAACATAAGCTTTGTGATTTCCTGTGATAACTGTCGAAATTCCTAAAAGTGGCCATGAGCAATCTTGAACAATCTCTCGAAAAGGAACAAGTTTTAAAAATCACATTAGAACCTGAGTGTGTATGTCATAGATGCACACACACACACCATGAGATAAATGAGGTTATGGCTTTCATTTAAAGATTAATAAAAGCCCATGGAACAGGAAATTTACAAAATATCGAAAAGAGAGGGGCCATTTTTATTACTTTTGATTGATAATTCTGGCACCACCAACTTCCGTTGTTTTCCCAAGGATTAACAGAGAAAGCGCAACTAGCTGGGTAAAGAGGAATCAGTTGCTCTTTGCTAGGGGGCAAGAGGTCTTTTGAAATGTCTAAGCACCCCTAGTCTGTTGCTTCATCTACACACTGGAGACTTCCTTTAAACACTCTAGGTACAAATAAAGCATGAGAATGAGAGACAGGATGGTCTAGTGGTTAAGAACTCAGACTCAGAGTTAGACTCACCTACCTTAGGAATGTAGCCTTGGAGCCACTACCTGTGACCAGAGGCCTGTCTTCCAAGCCTCCATTACCCTGTCTCCCTAGCCTCCATTTCCCTGTCTCCCTGATGGAGTGTACATCTGCTTCACAGGACCATGGTATGGATTCAGTGGCATTGCACAAACGATGTATTCGGCACAGTGACTGACACATAATACACATAGGAGGTCTTAAAGAGCATAGGGACAGATATCCCTTAGAAAATCCAACAGCCTGACCAGCCTGCAAAGGTCCATTACTCCTATTGCACTCATCGACAAACATCGTGATGATAATTTCTAATGTATGAAATAACAAAAACCTCCTGTTGTGAGATGAAGACTTTACACATCAGTCAAGGTTTCCAAAATAAATATTTTGTCACTCTCAATTACATAATTTTTTAAATTGAAACTGAGGTTGTTAAACGTATCGGTGGTGGTGACCAGGGTTCTGGTTTTAAATCCAACATTTTTTAATGTCTTAGAAGGCTACCACATTCTGTTTGTTCTGTGTTCATTATTTACCCTGTGCAAAACAGGACACATTTTGGAATACTGGACTTTTAATTACAGAATTTGATAGTTTTATTTTATGCTACATCTATAATATATATATGGCGTTTTCACTTTCAGTTTTACATAAAATTGTGTATCTCGATTCTGGAAGGTTTTTGTAAGTCAGATTTTCATCAATCTGGGTGGGGAGAAAAATACAACTGCCACTGGAAGGGAAATTGTCATATCCTCATCCATATCATGAGTTAGTTATAAGTATAGCTTAGCTATGTGAAGAAATGAGATGCAGTTGGGGGTGGGAGAGGGAGAAATCTTGCCCTATGAGGTTTTTGGTCTTTTTAGTTTTGTTCTGCTCTGGGGCAACCTGACATATTTATCTTATCTAATTACCAAATATTCTGCATTTTAATTAATGCAGTAAATAATCATTAATTACCATCATTTTGGCAGCTGGATTTTGTCATAAGAATAATTTTTCTCCATTCTTTTTTCAGGTGAAAAAAAATAGAGTTGTAAAAGCGATACATTAAGACTTTTCTTCAAATTTGCATCAAGATGGAAATGTTTTGCCTCAGAGCATCCTTTTGGCTGGCACTGGCTGGATGTGTGATCTGTGACAATCCTGAGAGATACAGCACAAATCTAAGCAATCATGTGGATGACTTTACCACTTTTCGGGGGACAGAGGTCAACTCCCTGGTGACTACCCATCGACCCACAAATTTGGCCCTCCCCAGCAACGGTTCAATGCACAACTATTGCCCACAGCAGACTAAAATTACTTCCGCTTTCAAATACATTAACACTGTGATATCTTGTACTATTTTCATCGTGGGAATGGTGGGGAATGCAACTCTGCTCAGGATCATTTACCAGAACAAGTGTATGAGGAATGGCCCCAACGCACTGATAGCTAGCCTTGCCCTTGGAGACCTTATCTATGTGGTCATTGATCTCCCTATCAATGTGTTTAAGGTAAGAAGTAACTACAAACGTATTTGCAGGTTTGAACGCATGCTCTAATTCCACAGTAAGAGTGTCTGGCCTTTGGAATTTTGCTCTGTGTTTTTATTGAAAGTTATTTCCGCTATTTTAAAACTCGGTGACATTTTAAGATTTAATTATTTGCTAGATGTTATACTTATTTTCTAATTTAAGCATTAAATTAGAAAACAGTATCTCAGGGATGACTCTTCAAAATCATGGTGTTTCATGAATTGAATTCTCATGCTAGTGCTGGGCTAAATTATCAGTTGGACATTTTTTGAGAAGATCACTGGATTTTTCTGAGATTAAGAGCCCTCAAAGTACTTAAAATAAATATATCTTCAATTTCAATTACATTCTTTTAATGCAATGCTGTTCAGAATCTAGATACCTAAAGTACAGCTTGAAATGAAAAGCACCTATTTTTTTTTTTTTTGACTGTATTGATGATTGAAGCAAAAGGTCATGCTGGCTTTTCTCAGTTATCTGGGTGACTTGGAGATAAAGTGGTTCATGTGATAGCAGGCCAGGACTGACCTTGTTGAGCAGTTTTACTAACTAAAACCATTTGAAATAGGCCTCTTTTTTTTCAGTGTGCATTTATTGAGTGCCTACTGGGTTCCCACCCCTGATTTAAAGATAAATAAGAAAAGTTAGTGCTTTGGTGGGAGAAGAAGATAAGTATCCATACATGGCTGGGATCAATTTACTTTAGAGACTATTTAGCACCAAAGCAAACTAATACTAAAAGAAATTAGATTTTCCATATTTGGTATAGTAGTTGTGAGGCAAAAATTGTTATAAGGATCCAAATAAACCAAAATTTAAGTGAAATTGCATGATGTGTGCCACATTTGATGAAATATCTTTATTCTAGACATAGGGAAATAATTTTCCTCAGCTTTTTTTTTATTCCCCTCTTCTTTCTCTTTTTTTCTTTTCCTTCTTTGGGCTATTCATAGAAATAAATTACTCTAGGTAGTAATGTTATGAAATATTCCTTTAAATGACAAGAAGTTTTGTCAACTGAATTCCAAGTAGAAGAGCAGTCTGCTGATCTCCGATATATGCACTTAAATTCTGCTGAAATTATACTAGTCCATGAGAAAACTCAATAAAGATGAAAATAACTAAATTTTTTTAGCATTATGAATAAACACCTTTCAAATTTGTACCATACACTTGCAAAATTGGAGAATTTAGACAATGAATAGTAAAAAAAAAAAAAACACATACCATATTTTTCCACAGAATAGCATGAATACATGTGCTTTCTATTTGAACTTTAAACAGGATTTTGGAACTTAACTGTGATGCAAACTTGAAAATGCATAATTGACTTAAAATGTTCAACATATGTTACAGAAGTTTTATTTTTTCTTTTTAAAAGTTTTTAATTTTTCATTTATGAGATATCATGGGTACTCAACCCTGGACTTTCTCAGGACATCTCTCTTTAATGATAGATTTTAAAATGTTAACAAGACTATTAGTTGAAAATGGATGCTTCGGTCACAGTGTGGAATTTTTAAACATTGATAATTGCTACTTATGCACTAATCAATTAACCTAACTTTTTTGAAAAGAATAATTAACCATCTCTGAATTAATAACTCCCTGCTACTCTTGACTCTGAAGCACACTGTGTAGATGTGACCATGTGCACAGCAGTTTCTTGGCAAATCAACATCTGCAAATGCTCGGGGGGAAACCTGCTTATCTTTGGGGGGCTATTGCCAATTACCAGGCTAAAACTTAATTCTATTCCCTAGCAACATTTGAAGTCAGGTTTTCTGGAATATTTCAAATTTGATGAAAATCCAAATAAAACTTTAATGTTCATATAGCAATGGGTAAAAATTCACACATCTTTATTTGAACATAAGGTTCTTCCCTCTTGGGAATCCAATACTTAATGTAACTTATTCTAGTTCTAAATAATGTGAACAGTTTGACGTTGGTATTTTTTACATCACAGGAGTACACTTGTGTAATTCTTATTTTTCTAAAACTCAAGGAATATGAATCATCTAAACAACACTGATTTTAGAAAGTAAACCTTGTAGATTAAAAAAAATACTCTTTAGTCATCTTGATTTTCTTCCAGAGGAAAAAAGGAGAGTATTGAAGTGAGCTAAAAGAGCGCCAGTATTTAGAGATTATCTCTACATCTTTCTGTTATCCTCTTCCCTTGTTTGTGAGACCATAACATGTTGCTATTGCGCTGACTTCTGCCCAAGATGGTTGAGACACATCTTTCCAGGAAATGTGAGGTCAAGCCTCCATTTCTCTTCTCCACAGCTGCCCCCTGCCATGAAGATTCAATGCTTTGGGATCTATCACATATCAGGCCTTTGAATTCCTCCAACCCTGTCAAGTTCACTACCTCTGTGTCGCAGGAAAAGTAGCAGCTGTCCATCCTGCTTTACCATCGCAGTTAGGCACCTACGAAAATAATGCACATACCTGGAGAAAATTCTGCTGAAAGAATAGATGCATGAGTCTTCTTTAGCTTTCCCACTATTAAAAGAATTAAGTTAAAAGAATAAGAAAGATGAGTTTCCACAGACATATTGTTGTGTTTAACATCTCATCAGTTCTGTACTCAGTACTAGAGTGTCTCCAGACAGAACGCTGCATTGAGTCATATCAGAGTCAGAGTTGGAAGTAACATGAAGATTGTGTCTCAGGGCAGGCTAGAATAGCTGAGTCAGCTTTAGTCATGTTACAAGACAAAGGACATGGGGTGATAAACTTTTTTTTTTTAATAAAGAAAAGAGATTCATTTAGCTCACCATTTTGGAGGTTGGAAGTCCAAGATCGGGCTGCCACATCTGTTCTGCTTCTGAAGAGCCTCCCCAACTCCCTCTGTGTATCAACATGTGGGGAAATGTGAAGGGACACATGCAGAAGGGGCCCCGCAAGTGGGGTGGCCCAACTTTATAACAATCCACTCTCTCAGGACTTCCCAAGAACACAAATGCTTCCCACAAGGAAAACATTCATTCCTCATAAAAGCATAAGCTCCTCCACTAGACCCTACCTGTTTTCTTTTTAATTTGTTGTTTTTAGATATAGAGGACAGTAGAGTGTATTCTGACATATTATACACACATGGAGTATAACTTATTCTAATTAGATCCCATTTTGAGGATGTACATGATGTGGAGTTTCACTGTCCCGTATTCATGCATGAAGATAGGAAAGTGATGTTCGATTCATTCTACTGTCTTTCCCAGTCTCATCCCCCCTCCCTTCCCTTCCTTCCCTGTTGTCTAATCCAATGAACTTCTTCTTCCGTCCTCCCTGCTTGTTGGGGTGTTAGCATTCACATATCAGAGAGAACATTCAGCCTTTGGGATAAACTGTTCTTTATATTTAAGCAGTGTATTCCCTTTCTCTGGCTTAGATAGAGATTGTCCTGAAACTGCTCCGTAGATCAGTGGGATGGAATTAATAACTGAAAAGCAGTTCAGCAAGTACCCGATGCTGGGCTGTTTCTGATCGGTGATTAGCCCCTGCAGCCAGGGCTAGGTGGCTCTGGATGGTCCTCGGTCACTCCACACCTGAATTTCCAGAAGTTTCTTCATTGGTTTCCATATCTTCAGAGGTACTTCCCCCAACCTCTCCCGAACTCTGCTCTACTTAGTCAGTTGCCATTGCTTCCTCAGAAATGCCCAGGTCCTCTCTCTGCACCCCCACTGACCCCTATGCTGAGCAGTCAAGGCCCCCCACCCTCCAGCCAGGCTTTCCCCACTTCAACTCCCAGTGTGCATGCTCAGCTCGTGTTGGAATGCCATCACCACCCCTTCGGAACATTCCTTCCCTAGATAACATTCTCAGAGGTTGCATGTGCTCACAGATTACAGCTGCAAGGCATGTCAGACCTTACATTGAGAAAAGAGTTAGGTCTGCTGCTACATATGTGGCATCAAGAAGAAATAAACAGTAATGAAGACAACTCCTCTGGCCCCTGCTTACACACACCCACACGCCCTGCTCACACACACAACCTGGTTACAAAAGAAAACATCTGAGAAAATAAGCTGTAAAGCAAAAGGAACCAAAGAAAGCAAATGATGCCAGTTGTGTTCTTAATTTTCAAACAAAGGCCTTGCAAAGTGGTCATGCTGATGAAAATGCTATCACTATGTTGATCAAAGGGTGACTCTAATTGTTAGTTGTTCAGAAGAACAGATAATATCACTAATTGCAAAAGAAGACAACAACAGCAGGGAGGGAGGAAAGGAGCCAGCCGACTCTCATACACCCACACCTACAGCCCAAAAGGGAGATGGCTTCCATTTGTCAGGAAATCAATATCTGATATCCTAAAATCTCAAGAAATGCAAAACCGTGGCCAAGTACATTAATCTATACATGAAATGTTTGCATTTTTAGAAAGGCAAAATAAATTAAAATATTGTCTCTGTATGTGGAGGTCAGAAATAATACCCCATTAATAAATGGCAATATTGATTAGAAATCCAGAATGTGTGGGCTGGGGTTGTGGCTCAGTGGTAGAGCACTTGCCTAGCACATATAAGGCACTGGGTTCGATTCTCAGCACCACATATTAAAAAAATAAAAATAAAGGTCCATCGACAACTAAAAAAAAGACAAAATTCTTGTCCATAAGGAGATGAGTCATAATTTGTAAGAGAGTAGAAGCCCTAAAAGTGTGTGTGGCCATACAATTTCAGGATTACAGCTCACTCCCATGTTTCTACAGAAATTCCCATAAGCCACTCTACCTTGTCTCTTAAGCAAGAACAAGAATGGGAGAAAATTGGAGATTTTTTAAACAGGGTTAAAAGGATGAGAATGATAGGCCTGGGAAGGATCATGAAGCTGGGGCGATGACTTATCAGAGGAACTTCTGGTATGTTGTAGATGATGGTGTAGGTAAGCCATGTCTCCACTTAACACGGACTGCAAAGCAGATCTGTGGGACCCACGGGGGCAGCATCCAGGAACACTCTCTATGG